CATGCACACATGCACGCACACTTATTACAACATTACGCCCTCGTGAAGGAGGGTCCGAATGAATAAAAGCTAACTAGCTAGCTAAACTAAGCTAATTATTACAACATGTTGAATGAATAACGAGCTTACTCTAAGCTAGTTAATTAAAACAATTAAATAATTAACTATCTAAGTTAATCAAATATTACAAAGCAAACTAATTAGCTAAGTACTTAACTAATTAATTACAAAGCAACTAAGCTAATTAATTACAATATGAATTAATTAACTACTCTACTTAAATAATTACAACATTAATTATTTAGCTACAACTAACTAACTAATCAATTTAAACAAATAGTCCTGGGAGGCGAGGGATGCCCAATGCATGCTTGGTTTCCACTTGAAGAATGCCCACTGTTTTGTTTCCAATTGCCTTTGTTACACACCCTATGCACTGGTTTTCCTTCTCCAGATCAACTCTGCTCTGCTTGACAAGCTTTCTGCCAAATTTTCATTGGTGGTCGGCAGGCCAAAAGTGGTGGCCGACTGGCCACCAGCAAAGGGTGTCGTCCAACAATGGTGGCCTGCCGGCCAATAGCAGTGGTTGGTCGGCCACTGATGATGCTCTTTTTTTTTGCTACAACAGAGAGCAAACGGGGCAAAGAAGAGGCATTGTCACAGGTTATTTGTACTATGTATCACCTCTTATCATCAACACAAGCTCAAAGGAGTGATACATTTGGCCCTCAAAGCATTAATCAAGCAATTTCCATGCATGATGGGTAAGGGACCAAATTGTACAAGTTTAATGAGTGCAAAACAAGACTCAAGTGCCATCACCCTATTATGCATGATCAAGGGCAATGGAGACCTAGGAAAGTGGCACATTTCATCACTTTTGAGTATGAAATGCCCAATTTTCCTTGTGTTCAAATTAACGTCCGATTTGAACACATACAATGCAACACAAAGAATGCTTATCTTGCCACTTTTACTTGCCAATTTTGTTTACATGTTTTAGCTACCGAATCATCCTTTAATCAATTTGTCCATTTAGTGAGTGTCCTCTAAGATGAAAGAAGTGTCAATCAAGGGATAATGTAAGGCAAGAAAGAGATCATGCCATTGATAATGAACCCTCAAAGAGGATTAAACCATTAAGTATGACCTCAATCTCAAGCTTAAAGGATCCCAAGCTTGAAATAACCCTAAAAAACAAATGAAAGAGTGAAGCAAAAAGGGAGGTTGCAGGGTTTATAGTGTTGAAATGGAGTGAAAAACAGCACTAAAAGATGCTATCAACTCAAACAAGAGATGTCTAAGACCCTAAAACACCAACTTGTGAAGACTATTACACTAAAACCATGCAAAATAAGACTCAAATGAACTAACTAGCCTAAAATAGAGCTAAAACAGGTCTGAAACAACCCTAAAACATGCTGGAATTAAGCAAACAAAAGCTAGAAAAATAAGCTAAAACATGGAGCATGTTAAGCTAGTAAACAAAATACAAGAAGGGAAGGCTAACCCCTCTAATTTTGGACTTCAAAAATATTTTTAGCCACTGAAATAACTCTGAAATTCAGTGTTTAAAAACTCAAAAATAGATAGTAAAAGTGTGGGAAACACAAGGGCAAAAGCCTCCAAAACAAGGTACAAAGAAGGATGAACCACCCCTCAAGCTTTAATGGCCTTAAAACCCAAGTTTTAACCCAAAAATGCAGAGTTTTTACAATCCAAAAATAGCCCAAAAATAGTATAAAAATGTGATAGAATGAAAGCTAAAACGTGGAACAATTTAAGCTAATAAATAAACCAAAGGAGAGGTGACTAACCCCTCCATTTTTGGGACTTCAAAACCACTTTTTTAGCCTCTGCAAACCTTTGAAAAACAGTGGTAAAAAGCTCAAAAAAAATTGATGAAAGAATGGGAAACACAAGTGAAAAAGCTTAGAGAATAAGGTTTAAAGAAGGGTGATTAACCCCTCTACCTTCAAAAGCCTTAAGCCACAAGCTTCAGCCCATAAAAATAAGACCTCAGCGTCTTCTATTTCGAGTTTTGCCGGTGGGGGCGTTAGTAGGAGCTCGGCGTCGGCGCTAGCGCTGGGCTGGAGGAATTAACTGGGGGGTTGAAGTTGATAGCTGATTTGCAAAGTCAGATGTGAAGGCCTGATTTGGCCTTGACAATGAAGTGACTGGCGGAGTTGTAATGGGTAAGGAAGACTTGTTTTTGCGAGGAACGTCGGACAAAGGACTTCTATATGTCGAGATGTTGTTAAGAAGGATTAGAGCCTTACGGAGTTCAATTGGCAAGTCGAGAAGTCGGACCAAGTCTTTGCTCAGCACGTAAGACTAGCGGAAGTTCTTCTCTGGCTAAGGGAGAGCTGCAAAGACAAGAAGAAAACATTAGAACAGATAAACATCAAGATTGTTTAGTAAGGCAGTAAAGAAGGGACTTTGTGGGGAGGGGGGGGACTAAGTCCTTACCTTTGTCATCCCTAAAAACTTCACGACGCAAGGGAAAAAAATGGAGCTCATCATCTATTGTAAACTCCCAATTACCCGAGACAATTAGGTAGTCGTTTGGATTGCCCTTATTTGAATCTAGAATGTCGGCTATTAATTTATACTATGTAGATCTTGGCTTAAGGTAGTACGTGTAGCCAGAGTTAGTCTTGAGGCCACACATTGTGTATCAGTATTGGATATCGAATAGGGTTACTCTGGCATTCTGCCGACATGCCAACTCGGTAATGCCATTAATGATCCTAAAGGAGTTAACGGCTAGTTGCATGGTATTGAGTTTGTAATAACGGAGGACTTCCCTAAAGAGGCTGTTAAGGGGAAATCTAACTACACCCTCAATGATGGAGACTACGAAAAAAGACATGTAATCCTTCCTAAGCATGATAGAGTCATTATCACCAGCCAACCGAAGTTGAATGTTGGTTGGAATGGAAAACTCTTGCCTAAAGTATTCCAGTTTGGAAAGGGTGTCTACCCTCCACATGCCCATTATCTCGGCAAAGGAAACAGAGGTTTATTAAGAAGCTTGGTAAGGGGTTAAAGACCTCAGATAAACCCTAGAGAGCACTGGGGTGAGGGTTGTGGAAGATCTAAGGGGAAAACTTGTTTCGATTCTTCTAAGTGCACAGTTTCTAAACAAATCCCAAGTCAAGAAAACACAGAAAAAAAAATTGAAAGCAACTAATCTGGAAACAAAGTGAGAAAAACAGAAAAAAGAGCATGATTCAGAATCAAGAAAGCAGCAAAGATTCAAGAATATGGAAAAATTACAAATCCGCACAACACTGAGTGAGTGTGTGCAAGACATTGTGCAAGAATCACATCAGGAAAACACAATTGACATTTTAGTGATGCAACTTGAAGCACAACAAAAATTCAAGAAACAAGAAATGATTCATAATGGCCAGAACATGAAAATAACAACAGAGTACAACAGATGCGAAGAAGAAAACATTTTAAGAGAATAGTGGAAGGCAAAAATTAAAAAGCAGAAATTAAGAACTCACTGAATAAGGGCGAGGAAACAAGGCCGGAGTAGTACTCGTCGGAGTCAGATGGTGGCAAACATTGGAACAAAACAATGAAAAATTCACCGGAGGAGCGAAACGGAGCACGACTGCAAAGCTTCAAAGGTATGAAAATGGTGGATTTCGTAGAGAGAGAAAATATGGGCAGAGAAAGAACGAAAGAATGAAAAGTGAAGAGACGAAGAGAGAGAATGGAGAGTTTTGTCAAAAATTCGAAAAGACAGCAAAACGTAATAAATTAGCTATGGACGACGTTCTTGTTAGGCTAACGTAATAAAAGGCGGCAAAACATAATAAATTAGTTGAGGGTCCAGGATGAGCATTGAGCCTGAGTCCATTGAAGTGAGGCTTCTAAAGGGATCAGGTCACTGCTGGTTATAAAAGCAAGGCCCTCGTGGGTCTGAGGTAAGTTCTTTCTTGTGAGTTTAAACACAATTTGCTATCTTTGAGAGATATTGATTACGGACTTGATCGTCGAAGCACCCTCGAGTGGACAAATCACCACCAGTTTCTCATCTTCTTGTGCAAGTTGTTGGGCTTAATCTATTTTGCCGGTGCTCTCCAGCTGAGTTCCCCGTTTGGTTGTGTGGTAGGAAATCAACACCCACAGGTTCTTTGCATCAACAAGATATGCTGCTTGTCTATGATCTCAATAAAAATGTACTCCAGTTTGCCCAGGGCTGTTGATTTGTGGTTTTCCAATTTGATTCTCTTGGCCTTGTATCTCTCCTCTTGTGTTTAAATTATATATATACTTTTTTTTCAATTCTGAAAGTGTGGTGCCTCACTTGTTAGAAGGAAAATGCTGAATAAAGCACTAGTTAGGCGTAAGGTTACGAGACTAAAATAGTAATAAAAAGATAAATAGGTTAAAAAGTCAATAAGATAAAATGTCACATTCAAACTATAATTATTTCATTTTTCTCCCACAAAAGTAAAAAAAAATCATCCCAAACGAGACTTTCTAGTCCCAGGTTAAAATAGTCAAAAAGCTAAAAAGCCAAAAAGATAACCCACATCCCAAACGAACCCAAAACTAAATTATAGTTAAAATTTTGCTGTGGTTTACTGTATGGATTTTTTGTAAATTCATATTTTTCTACATTTTATTAGGTATTTCGGGTTTACTTTTTCTATTGCTTTTTTTGTTAGTAATTTTTTTAAAAAAAAAACTTTAGGCCTTGTTTGGTTTGTGTTTGTAAAGTAGTTTATGAGATAAAAAAGTACAAAAACTTGTTTGGTTTGCCCTTTTCTAAATATTCTCTCTACATGTGTTTCGTTTGTGTTTGTAGGCTAGTTTTTGAGATAAAAAAGTACAAAAACTTGTTTAGTTTGCCTTTGTCCAAATATTTTTTATAAAATAACTTTTGTTTTTGTTTTTTTTTTTCAAAAGTGGTCTATACAAAACGTGGGCCCCTTTTGTTTTCAATACAACTTCCCTTCTTCCAAATATATTCTACAGGGCCTCTGTCTGGCTTCTCTCTCTTACACAAAACCTTTTTCCTCTCACTTCTATATTATTATGTACAGTCCAATAGTTCTCTCTCTTTGTGCTAAAAGGAAGCAAATTCAACAATTGATTCGAATGATCTGTACTCGTCTTTGGTTTTTCAAAAAGACCCTCTCATCTCCATTATTATTGTGTTGAAGATTTGAGAAATTTGTGGTGCACAACCCTACTCTGTCTCAAATTTGTGGTTGCTCAATATGCAGATGAAGGTGCCGTCACTCACAGAGGGTTCAGGCAAAAGGGGTATCTAACTCTCTTTTCACAATCACTTATCTCCCTCACAGATTTCCCCAAATCTTCTGCCCTAACTTCTGTATCAGTGAAATTGATTCTTCAAATCTTGAAAAAATCTACCACAATAATATCAATCTCCATCATCTGTGGTTGTTCACCTTTATAAAATGCAAAGTGCCCAGCTTCAAACCCCACCACGACGAAGGACAATGGCATCCTTCACACCAAAAACAGACAGGCCGTGCTGTGGTGTTCGATGTGGATGGTGGGAGTTGCGGTCCACCAAAACCCGGTAAGCAAGAGGTACAAATCTTGCCGTCTTTTCTTTACAAACTTCCTAATCTCAACGTTTCTTCTCTTCACCATGTCTGTTTCTGTATTGGGTGTTTGAAGAATTTCGGTTTATTTGGTATCAATTGGTTTGATTTTTTGGTACTTGTTTGTTGTGTTTGGGGTTGTTAAAAAATTGAAGTAAAAAGGAGACCATCATTTTTTATGTGGTTTTCATCTTATTGGGTTCATTGTATGCCGATTACAAATTTTGGAGTGAGATGTATGGGGTTGTGGCAAAGTTAGACAGTGACAGAGCGATGAAGGGGAAGACCAAAAAAAAAAAAAGAGGAAAAGAAAAAACACAAACAGGGCCCAGCAAAAGATACATGGTAGGCTCCACGGACCAAGGAAGACCAAGCTCATTCTTTAATTTCCTTCATTCCTGAAACCAATCCATCATTGTTGAATTAGTACATGGTTTCTGGAAATTGGCTCCTTTAAGTCAACTATAATTTTCAATTATTATTATTAGTTTACAAGTTTTGATTAGTTTTTAATTGCTCATTATCTGTTGGTTTTGTTGAAGCAAGTTTCTGTGCCATTTTTAGGCTAACTCCATACTCCTCGGTCGTTGTTCAATACACAAACAAAGAAGAGGAATAGATCTCCTCAACTCTCAGTTGATTCATCCATTGCTGAAAATGATTGTCCTTATCTGGTAAAAAAATCATTTTAAGATGAAATTAAATATTGAAGAATGATGATTTCTTTTGCTTATTAGTTGTGAGATGATTAGTCTAATCGATTACCATTAATCTACAAAATCTTAAAACAAAAATGACAAAAATACAAAATTATCACTGTGTTGAATAAAACAGAGATCAGTTTTATTGCTCTCAAATTGACAACAATACAAATTATCTTGTTGGTGTGTGAACATATATTGATGTGTTATCTTCCTGAAAACGACTATCCTTATCCGGTAAAACATGATGTGGATTTTGTCTTACACCGGAAACTGATATGTGCTTTTAATATCAATGTATTGTAAGTGTGTTGCAATTGCTATTTTTGTATTACTGAAATAAACAACTTAAAGGCAACTAACATTAAATGTACATCTGTTGCCCTTGTATTAGGCTAGTATGGCTAACGATGTTGATGACTTTAAGATGTGGGGGTCTGACAATGTTAAGATATTTTTAGAAATCTTGCTCGATGAAATAAAGAAAGAGGGTCCCTGCATGTCAAAGAAAGATAGAAATTTGTCCTAAAGCAATGGCAAACAATTGATGATGAGATGACTAAGAAGCTTGGAAAAATTTTTGGCCAAAGAAAGTTGAAGGGTAAGTACGCACGTTTGAAGGCAAACTACAAAGAGTTTGTTGCTCTAAAAAACCACATGAGATTAGGCTGGGATCTAATAACACAAACAGTGACTACCCCAGATGATGTTTGGAAAAATTATGTTCAGGTATTTGTTTTGTTGCATACATTGACGACAACCACGTGTATAGATAATTTTTTGTCTAATTATTATTTTATGTTTACAACTTGTAGGCACACCCAAATGCCAAACAATTCCAAAATAAAGGCCTTGAACATTATGACCTAATGTCAGAAATCTTTGCCAAAACATTTTCCACTGGAACATTTGCCCGTTCTTGTCGTTAGGGTGCACCTACATCTGATAACGAGCGAGAAATGGATGAACTCTTTCATGCATATACCTCCAGGAAAGGTGTAGTAGATGAATCTTGCACTTCTAAAAGTAAGCGTAAGTCTAGTGGCCAAGGGCAATCAAGCAAGAACCCGAGAATGGATGATGCACTTCAATCATGGCAACGTTCAAGTGACGCACGTGAAAGGTTTTACCTTCGAACTAAGACAAATGCTGGGGCAACTAATGCGTACTCAGTTTCAGCCTGCATGGACATACTCAAATCAATGGCCTTGGATTCAAGCTTGTACTTGAAGTCCATGAACATGTTCACATCGTTAGAATGGCGAACCATGTTTGTGACCATGGAACCGGAAATGAGGTACCTTTGGATCCTTAGTTTGTGACAAGCTTGGTGATCCCACAGTTGTGGTGGATGTGAAGGTGGACATACTTTGTGACAAGGCTGGGTGCTTACAGAATTTGCTTTATTTTTTTTTTAACTTGCCTTTTTTTTTTTTTTTTTTAACTTGCCTTTCGGTTTAGACTATGGTGGGCGTTGTCCCAATTTTTTTTTCCCGCTTTCTATTTGCTTTTGGTTTAGACTGTGCTATCTATTTGCTTTTGGTTTAGACTGTGCTAGGCCTTTTTCCATTTTTTTTTCTCCACTTTCTATTTTCTTTGTTGTTGCAATAGTATCATGAATTGCGCATGCCAATGTTTCTTATTTCCTACTATTCGGACCATGCTCTTTTACATGTGTTTGTTATGAGTAATACCCAAATTTTATATTATCAAAATTAATTCCGTGATCGTTTTACACTTTGCCATTTAGATGTCATCGTCACGACGAAATGAAGGGCAAGCGAACAATCTGTATGACCCGTATAGTGGCGATAACGAAGATCTCATGGACTACAACATGGTTTGTTAACTAACAAATGACATTCATATGAAACAACCGCAACGTAATTGTCCGTACATTGGTGATCAGTACATACAATTCTTACTGAGTGGAAATCCAAAATCAATCCGTAACCAATTGCGTATGAAAGTCATGACATTTATGCAATTGGTTAACGAGATTGTGCGTAGAAATGTTTTAGATTGGTCAAACATGAGATTGTCATTGGAAGAGTCATTGGCTATGTTCTTATTCATTTGTGGTCAAAGTTCATGTATAAGAAATGTTAGAGATCGCTTTAGCACTCAAATGAGACTATTCATCGACATTTCGTACTTATGATGTGAGTGTTGAGAAATCTTGCGCCATTTATAATCCAACCACCAAACATGGCTATAACCCCTCCTCAAATTCGATATGACAGATGCTACTGGCCATGGTTTAAGGTAACATGCATGGTAGTTGATTTGAATTATTTTATATGGATTGAATATTGTACTTATTTTCTGGCTCATAACCTAACATATTTGGTCATATGAACATAAATGCAACCCAACATATTTGGTGTTCATAAATTAATTTTGATTTCAAATTAAATGAATATGGTCATGATTTCAAATTTAGATGTGAATGTGTCACCTGTAATGTAAAAAATAGTTAAAGGTTATCTTCATTTTACCCAAAATGGTTTGGAAATAAGATTAATGTGACTTTTTATTTTTATTTTTCCGTGTAACATAAAAATGAAAATGATACCAAAGGCATGATCACATATTATTTAAGTTGTCATGTAACTTATACCAAAACACTGACCAACAACGGCCCATTGAGGAAGGCCCTAAAAACTAGGATGAAGCAGAACTTTTCCAAGCTCTGAAACCATATAACATCGAATTAGGTTTTAATCCACTAGAAGGGTCTTGGCTATTTCATGAGTAGATTAGTCAAGTTTCTATTTGTTTGTTTCGACAAATTTTTTTTTGTATTAAAAACATTTTTCTGCAAGAAGAAATAAATATTGGAATTTTGTAAGAAAAAATAAAAAATGGAAATTGATGCAAGAAAAAAACATCAATGTGAAATTGATGCAAGAAATTTGTATTTTGGAATTTTGTAAGAAATACATTAAACATTTTTCTGCAAGAAAAAATAAACATTTTTAATGGTTTGAAAATAGAAAAATAAAAATGGAAATTGATGCAAGAAATTTGTATTTTGGAATTTTGTTTTGAAAATATCAATGTGAAGAAACCTTTCTAATTTTTTTTTTTTAATTTTGAAAAATATTTTCACACATAAATGAAAACAGTGAGTGTGTTTGAATTTTCCATTGATTTGTTTACGAAATACGATATGAAATTGGGTCAGTGTTCACATTTTTTGCTAAACAACTATGCATCTAATTAATTTTGGTGTTCATAACCCAATATAGTAAGTCTTATGAACATAAATGCAAACCAACATATTTGGTGTTCATCAATTAATTTTGATTTCAAATATGTGTGCCAATTTTTTTTCCTAAAAAGCATTCAAATTTTAATGAAGTAGGATTGTGTAGGGGCCATAGATGGCACACATATTGCTATTGTAGCACAAGAAGCTGACCAAATGCCATATCGAGGTAGAAAAGTGAATACTACTCAAAATGTGATGGCTGTATGTTCATTTGACATGAAGTTTACATTTGTATACACTAGTTGGGAAGGTAGGGCACATGATTCAGGAATTTTTTTAGAAGCACTTACCACAAGTAGCGCTGACTTTCCACGTTTGACACCGAGTAAGTGTAATTTTTTTTTCAAGCGATACCCAAATATGCCATGATTTGTTCTTATTGAAAGTGCTTTACTGTAGATAAGTATTATCTCGTGGACGCTAGATATACAAATATGCCCGGCTACGTAGCCCCATATCGTGTGCAAAAATATCATTTGCAGGAGTTCAATAGGCGACATCGCTATCATGGTCCAAAGGAGTTGTTCAACCATAGACATTCTTCTTTGAGGAATGTAATAGAAAGAACCTTTGGAGAGTTGAAGCAACGGTTTCCATTATTGAAACACATGCCACGGGATGATATGGTACACAAAGGGCCAATTGTTGTGGCATGTTGTGTTCTCCACAATTGGAGACGCGCGGTGCAAGAGCATGATGAATTTTTCGATACAGAAGAATCAAGTGAAGAAAATGAAGCCGACGATGAAGACGAAGATGAAAGTGAAGGTGCAGGTGAAATTCAGGGTGAAGGTGGAGTTCAAAATGAAAATGGAAATGAAGATGAAGTACTATCTATGCAACAACACAACCATGCCAATATGTCACGTGAACAACTACTGCAGATGGGACAATGGTGAGATCCTTTTGTTGGTACTTTTCATTCTCGTTGTGCTTAAGTAAAATGTCAGTAACCATGGTTGCAAACAATGGTTGTACTTCAATTTTAATTATGTTAGTTCATGTATTGGTACTAATTATGTTGTAATATTTGGTTTTTTTTCAATTTTTATTATGTTAAAATAAAATTTTATGTTGTAATATTGTCATTCTTGTTGTATTAGTTTTTTATTTTTTTAAAAATGTCAATAACCGTCGTTGTCAATTTTTATTATGTTACTTCATGTATTGGTACTAATTATGTTCATGTATTAGTTCAATTTTTATTATGTTAGTTCAGGTATTGGTACTAATTATGTTGTACTTAAGTAATATTTGTTTTTTTAAATTGTGGTACTAACTTTAATGTATTTTCATTGTAATATTCCCCTTTATATGTTAATTACATATAAAATATGCTTATAACAAATATGAATATGAAAATTATGTACAATAACGACAAAACATAATTACATATATAAATGGCAAAAAATGTTGATTACATATAAAATATGAAAATGACGTATTAAGGCCTGGTTTGGGAACCCTTATTTTTAGCCAAAAAATCAAAAAATTACTAAATTAGCTAAAAAGCCAACAACCCATACCAAAAAGTCAAAGATTATCTTTTCTCTCTACTTTTTGCACATCTTTTCGTAAAAACTAAAAAGTCATCCCAAACACACTAGTTTTTTTTAGCTCATATTTTAGCTAAATCACCAAAAAGTTACTAAATTAGCCTGTTCTCAAACAAGGCCTAAAAATGAAAAAAATCCGAATATGTATAAAAATGGAAATATCCAATTATGTATAACATTGGAATTTATTTTATATCATTTTTTGCATTTTTGTAGATTTTTTTTTACATTATTGGGGGTGTTTGTATTTTTTTTTCCTAAAAAAAACCAGCCAAACGGATTTCTGAGATTTTTTTTTGAAAATGTGTTTGCAAACATGTTTGAAAAGTTATCCTAGAAAAAGTCAACCAAACACATTTCTGAGAATTTTTTTGAGAAAATCTGTTTGGTTTGATTACCCTAAAACATGTGTTTGTAGAGCATATTTCAAAAAAAAAAATTCTCAAAGACAAACCAAACAGGGCCTTTATGTTTTTAGGTTTTACTTGGCATCACAAATGGAAAAAGTATATTTTTAAAAAATTTGAAAAAATATAGAAAAGGCAAAAAAAAAAAAAAAAAAGAAGAAGAAGATGAAACACCAATAAATTTCAGTTTGTGTACTAGTTAGTTTTGTCTTTTTTTTGTTAAACTAAAAGTTCCTAAAATAATTAGATTGACACATCGGTCCTCTTCCATGCACGTTTTTATGTGTTTAATGGGGGCGAATGTGGAATTTTGTTGTGGGTGAAATTACATTTGTGAACATAAAGCACACTATAGGCATTTTTTGGTTTCCCTCTTTCTGATTGAATGCTTGATCTGTATATGGAAACATTGTCAAGAAACATTTTCACATTAAAACATTTCCATGTTAGGGGATTGGAACACTATGTGATTGAGGTTTTTTCGAAGAGTTGTTCCCACAAATTCTACATTTGTGTTTTCGATTGAAACCCCTAATTAGAGGAACCTCTTTGCCGACGGGTCACCTTCAACAATAGCTGATCAATCTTCGCCGGTGAAGGTTTGACGTCGTCGTCTTCGGAGACATAAATACAGACACAGTAGACAGTGTTCGTCATTGTACACACCGATTACACCATTGCCGTAATTTCAAACGTCGACAATGAAAGGCGAAGGTGTGTAATGTTTGACACTTTAATTGTTGATGTGTGTTACAATTTGTTACCTTTTATTTGTATTTGATTTTGGTTTTGTGGATTGAGTCGTTGCTACATGCCCTAATTGGTTGATGTAATGTACAATATAATATTTTGAGTAAATTTAACATTGTCACGCACATCAAATGTGTATGATTAGAAGTGATGTTCGTATGGTTTTAATGTTATGGTGTTGTGTATTAAATGTTAATAGTCAGAGTTATCTATTAGTTTATGGTGAAAAGGGTATGTTGATATTGTTGTGTGTATTTATAGTCGAAATAATGCCCTGTTTGGATATAGGATGTGCATTCTATTGTTGTGGTAATTTATACGTGTGGGTGCTATTAATATTATCTATTCAATGCAGGCAATAGGATTTTATGTTCTGACATTGATTGTGCATGTTGGTTTTAGACTGAGATCGACGGGTACATGGTTATGTTTCCCGTGTGTCGTACCAATATGTTTAATGTGAAAATATGTTGCGTACTATAAATGTGTGTCTTGCGGTATGGTATTTCATTTCATAATGTTTGTAATTTATGTTGGACACGTTGTAGTGTGTGATGTGGTATGACTTGATATTTTCCGAAGAAAGCAAAATTGATTCTCACGATATAAGAAAACAATATCAGCAATAGAAATCTATCCACCATATATCATTCTACAAAAATCAAACATACAAAAATAAAAATGTAAAACGGTACTCTCTCAATCATTACAAATGAGTAAAAAGAACCCACCAAAATTATAATAAGGGTAAATGTATAAACTCCACTAATGTCAAATCAAAAGAAAATATTCCTTACCATTAAAATAGGACTAAATAGTTCATAAAAAAAAAATAGGACTAAATGGATCATCATTCCCTAATTTGAGATTTATTAATAATTTCTCAAAAAAAAAAAAAACCAAAAATAATTCTTTTTGAGTTTTTTTTTTTTTGAAAATTTTGGTTTCCTTTCACTTTTAAAATTTCTTTACAAGACGGACATAAAAAAATAAATTTTTTGACATCATTTATAAAAAACAATCACTAAATATAATTTTTTTATTTTATTTTTATTTTTTATAAAAATGTGACGCATTTCGATATTTCGAAATATCTAATTGTAATCAAAACACATGAACATTTTTGCACCACGGTGCAATTAAAATTGTAACAATATTTACTAAATATAGGGGATCAACCAATTTTGAATACAGTGATTTTTGCATCATCTATTGCAATTGTCAAAAAAAAAAAAAAACTTTAATTTTTATTTACAATAATGTTATATATATTAATTGATATACTAATTAATACACTAAAAAATGATATGATATAACTTTAGAGATTTAAATTTTTTATAATTTGTACAATGAATGAGATTAAAGACAATGCTATATGTCCAAAATTTTCGACCAAATGTCTCACATAGGTGTGAGGTTTGCAATGTGAGACATTTGGTCATTTGTTTGGTAAAAATTTGGTATCCCTAGTATTATTACCCTAATTTTAAAATGGCAACGTCATAACATATATTAATATACTAAGAATAATGTTATATGCATCAATTAGTGTACTAACTAGTATACCAATGGATGATGTGTCATAATTTAAGAATTTTTAGTATTTGTAATATAATTAATGAGTAAAGTCAATAATAATATCATAATTAGTGTTGATATATTAATTAATACATGTAATATCATCAATATACTAATTGACATATCAATTGATAATTATAACACTATCATTTAATGTCAAGTTTAGTCTTTCATTTATAAATTTGCACCTTAAAATTTATTATTTGGGTTTAATTAGAGGTGAACAGCGGATATACCGATCCGCCAAAACTGACCGAACCGAACCAATCCGCCTCATTTTAGACGGATGCGTGATGACGAGTGGACGGTTGCGGATTGATTTTCTCCAATCCGCCAATTTGGCGGACGAATGACGGATTTGAGGTTCCTTTGGCCGCAACCGAACTACTAAACCGCGTGCACCCTTAGTAATTTATAAGATTTTGTATTTTAAATTTGTTTAAATATTTTGTTTGTATTTTCAATTGAAAAAGAGTTCAAATATTCTATTGAAAAGAAGTTTTCAATTTGAATATATTTTTTGAATTAAAAAAAATAAAGGTATTATTTATCTATATTTTTTTGTTTTTAAATCAAACTCTAAAAGTAATAAATAAAAAATATGATATATACTGGTTGGTTTTTATTTTCAAAAACATATATAAATGTAACAATACAGAGACATACACAATCTCTACTATTGCTCTGTTCATGATTTTGGTGGTTTGAATTGTTTTTATATTTTAAGAACCACAGATTGTAATACTTTATGTGGATGAGGCATACTGTGATTGTAATATGTGCATGAGGTATGTGATTGTAATATGTGCATGAGGCATGCAGTGATTGTGATATTTTAAAGTTTCAAGCTTTCTTTATTTGGATGATGCATGCAGTAATTGTAATACTTTTTTAAGTTATTGACTGTAATACTTTATTTATTTTTTTTTTTTAAGAAATGCACAAGTTGAATTATGTTGAAAATTTATAAAATTTCAAACTGCCAAACCAATTCGTATCCATTCGCCAATCTGCCAACCCTCTCAATAAGTTGAATTATGTTGAAAATTTATAAAATTTCAAACTGCCAAACCAATTCGCATCCATCCGCTAATCTGCCAACCCGCTCAATCCACATCTGCCAGATTAGCGGACGGATGCGAATTGATTTTCTCCAATCCGCCAATTTGACGGACGGATGACGGATTGGAGATGTCGTGACCGTAACCGACCCGTACCCACCCCTAACCAGGTTAAGTTTAGTCTTTCGTTTATAAATTTGCACCTTAAAATTTATTATTTGGGTTAATATGCCAAGTTTAGTCTTTCGTTTAATTTGTCTGTTTTAAAGGTTATATATAATTATTATCAATTTTATTTTTTATTTTTTTAAATTCATAAAATAGATATATACATAGACTATTTAATATATCTTATAAGAAATATTGGGTATGTTTGGTTTGAGTTTTAGAGATAAGTTTTAGAAAAAAATTTCCAAAAAATTATTTGGTTTGAGATTTTTCTCAAAAAATTTTCAAAATCATTTTCTCTCTCTTACACATCAATCAATCACTTTTTCTTTCTCCTCTCTCTTTCTTAATCACTTTTTCTCTCACACACATCTACTCTATTACAACAAAATATCAAATCATTTTAAACTTCCAAACTCCAAAACAATTTTTAAAATATACAACCAAACAAATCAATTTTTTTTTTAAAATAACTCTCCCAAATTCTTTTTAAAAACAACGCTGCCAAAAACAAACCAAACCAGCCCATTCTCCTTAACACCTACGCAATATAGCACCTACAGCGTATTGCAACAAACTCCACCAAAGAGTATTTCCACTCAACCAACCGCCTCTTGGTATCAATTTTGTTTTTTGAAATAGTAATTTGGAACGCAATTTTTTTTGACAAAAACAATTGCACAGATTCCACTTCTCTCAAATCCTCTATAAATCGGGACTGATCAATAAATGTTGATGATCTTGTATTGGAGAAGAAGAGAAGAAAATTAGGGTTTCAATTCGGTTCGAAATGGTTGATCGAGACAAGCAGTGGGACTTTCACCTCATTTTTCTTTCTCCTCTCTCTTTCTTAATCACTTTTTCTCTTACACACATCTACTCTATTAATCACTTTTTCTCTCACACACATCTACTCTATTACAACAAAATATCAAATCATTTTAAACTTCCAAACTCCAAAATAATTTTTAAAATATACAACTAAACAAATCAATTTTTTTTTTTAAAATAACTCTCCCAAATTCTTTTTAAAAACAACCCTGCCAAAAACAAACCAAACCAGCCCATTCTCCTTAACACCTACGCAATATAGCACCTACAGCGTATTGCAACCAAACCAACCGCCTCTTGGTATCAATTTTGTTTTTTGAAATAGTAATTTGGAACGCAATTTTTTTTGACAAAAACAATTGCACAGATTCCACTTCTCTCAAATCCTCTATAAATCGGGACTGATCAATAAATGTTGATGATCTTGTATTGGAGAAGAAGAGAAGAAAATTAGGGTTTCAATTCGGTTCGAAATGGTTGATCGAGACAAGCAGTGGGACTTTCACCTCAGAACCTTATCTGCTAGTGCCAGAGATTCAAATTTCGCCGATCCTGTTTCCGATCCGTCTCTTTTGAATTCGGTCCGTTTCTCTCTCTAATTATATCTTTGAACATGAAGATTTTGGATATTTTTTACGGTTTTGTTGATGCGTTGTTGTTTATATGATCAGGTGAAGAAGCTTCATGAATTGTGTAAAGCTGAGAAATCTGAAGATTTGATAGCTAGGGTTTATCCGCAACTTAACAAGATTTTTCAACGCTCAGTGGCTTCGATTTCTCAATCTCGAACCTCTAGTGGTCTTCTTTTACTGGTATTGATTTCTCTTTTTAGTCCTTTTTCATACTTCTCGTTAATAGTTGGAAATTACTTGAATGAGATTAGCCATTTTTAGTTCTTTTGAAAAAAAGTAATATGTAGAGACAAGCAAAAATTGAAAAAAAAAATGACAATGAATTGATTGCAGGTGTTACTATTTATTTGGAATATTGAAGTTTTTTTGTGCTTGACATTTGCCTTACATGTGTGCTGATGTAGCCATTTTTTCTTTTATTCTACTGTTTTACTCAGGAAATTCTTCAATTTTTTATTGATTTTGGAGAGGTGGTTCTACATGATGCTGATCCTAGTATGAGGACCTTCTTTCGATCATGTTTGAGCCGGTGAAATATGGTTTAGTTTGGTGTAGTCTTTTCCAGTAATTTATTTCTGGCAAAAATATCATGATTTCATGTAACAATTATTCCCTATTTATGATGGCATTTCATATGATAATTATATTTGAAAATCACTCTTCCAATGTTTGATTGCAGTGAATTTTCAGACCCTGTTGTTGCAGAAGCAACACTGGATTTTCTGAATCTTAACAAGAGAAAACTTTTAACGAATTTCCCGGCATTACTCCCTCAGGTATGATTTGAGATTGATTGGCTTCATTCTTTGCTTAGGTTTTAGTTTCTTAATTTGATTTATGTTGGAATTCCCGGACATTTATATATATACATGGCTTGAGCTTATTGAATTAAGATCAGATTTGGACAATTGATTTAATTAATATCAGAGAATCTTTCCTACTTTTGGCAGTCTCTCTCTTCCATCTCCTTCTCTTTCTACTTCTTTTATGTCCTCCCCCCTTTCTCTTTTCTTTTATCCCTTATCCTTTCAAGCAATTTCAGTCGCTAATGGATCTGAATTTATACATTTAGAAGTAGAAAAGAAAAAAAAAAAAATGAAACATGGATATCAAATATTCTTGATAACTTATTCTCCTCTAACATCACTCTTGCATTTATAGTTTTTCCCATTAATGCTAAAGCTCATTGCGTGGAATGGAGAGAAGTAAGTTCCTCATGTCATCCCTTAGTTCTCTTCTTGAAAGATATATTAGTAAAGCAGATAAAAGATTTTCAGTTTCATTTATTTTATTGGAATGATCTTAGTCTTAATTGGTGTAATTTACGACAAATGCTAACAAGTGCCCTAGGGATTTTGTTTAATATTGAGATTGAAATAAGAAGTGTCTTGAAAATAGGCAAAATAGTTAAAAGTTGCATTGAATTTATTGAAAAGCATCGTGTGTTTTAATTTTTTTTTTTTTTTTGTCTTCTTTTTTTGCCCAGGGGCACTTGTTAACAGACAGTTCATATATTGGTATTCATAATTGTAGTTTTATTTTATTTATATATGTTGAGCTATGTAATATATATGAGTCTATTTGTATGTGCATCTGTTTCTTTTTTGTCAGCACCTATATATATCTGCTTATATGTGTATATAAGCAGGCAAATTTGCACTTATATGTGTATATATGTCAGCACCTATAAAATGTGTGCCTTGATCCATGCCCAGAGACATGTCTACATAAGTGCAAATTTGCCTGCTTATTGTGTATATAGCAACATGTTCTCGGCAAGGAGAGAGACCATGGATTATTTTCTTCAAATTTGCCTGCTTATTGTGTATGTAGCATACATGTTCCCAGCATTATTTTCTTACATTTAAGTGGATATTATTGGGTTTCCTATACCAACTGTTGAGGGGGCTGGCTGACATGTTGGCAGAGTGAAGGGTATTCACTGCCAAGTGTTGTAGAGGCCACTGCCATCCTCCTCGAGTTTGGTGGAGAGACGCTTGGTTAAGTTAATTTTTGGTTATTTTTTTTTTTTTCCTCCTGGAATTGTGATTTTGCTCATTTGTTTTGTGCCTTCTTGTGTATGTTCCTTAGTTGCAGAATTCTTCATCTTTGTTTCATTTGCATTTCTTCCTCGCGTAGGGAACAAAAAATGGTATAAAAATTTTGTACTGAAACTAATTGAGCTTAATGGAAATTTTGACAACTAAACACATAATGCTTTAGAGATACTGTGGACTCAATTAGCAGTTACTGACTTTCGTACATATTTTTTTTTTTCTTTTCTCTTCTCTTTTTTGATGCAGATTAGAAAAATCCTTTCTAAGTGTGTTTCCCGCATTGATGTCTCTTGGGTCATTTCTTCCACTATTCCCATCTCTCGTTGACTTACCGAGTGAGTTTGTTTGTTTGGATTCCCTACTAGTTACATTCTGCTCTTTTTCTTGTTGCCTCATTTCACCAATTGAATTTGTGCTTGCTCTATTAGCAGCTGGCCCATGTTATTTTCCTTCCATTGATTTCTTGATCTAGTCAAATAGGCCGTTTCAAGATGCCTCAATTAAAAGAGGTCGGCAATTCAAAATCTACATGCTTGGGAGTTTATTACACTTGTTGGAAATCTGAATTTTATTATTTTGGATATAGATTATGTTTATTGGTTTTCCTTTTCTTGGCTTCTCTGGCACATAGGCATTGTTTGTCGGGCTTTTTTTTGGGAAGTATTTTAATACCACCAAAGAGGATTTACAATGAAGCTCAGGACATGCCAAAGGCTTCTCTAGAAGAGAGCAAGACATGCCTGGCCTGCAGAACATTTAAACCTCTCACAGGGAGGCTAGGCAAGTCACAGTTCCAGCAGTTGGCATTTTACTGTAGATATGTGTTTGCTTCACAAATCCTTAGAGCCTGGTGTCAAGAGAAAATTGAGAAACTAATTGGCATGAGTAGTATTTTAAGAAGAAGGAAAAGAAAGAAGTTGGCTTTCTTAAAAGGAAAAAGATAGGAAAAAGGGGTTGTAATTTAATTTCTCATATTTTTTTCCCCTGAACCAGTATTTAGTTTTACAAAATAACTTTCTACTTGACAAAAAAGATGAATCGGATAAAAGATTTTCTTCTTAGCATCATATTAAGTTTGGCACCTGCTTAAATTTGTTGATATTAGTTGTGGTAGTATCATGTGTTAGTATTGCTCCTCCTCCCTCAAATTTCACTTAATTTCATGGTAGAGATGTGTGCGCCTTATTATATTTTACAGTTGTTTGGATGGTTTTCAACATCAGTAAAGCGCACTAAACTTGTCCATGAATCTTACAATAAAGCTTGATTTTGAATGGAACACACAATAGTTTTGGGGCAATTGCTTCATGATAAATCAAAATGATATATTTTTTTCCCTATGTTACCAGAAAACACTAATACCCTAGCGAATTACGTATTGGTACGAACGTTCCGAAACATGGTACACTTTCATTCCAAAACAATAAATCTAGTGATCCGAAGTGATCCCAAAAGGTTTTTCTAATATATTTCCTTAAATGTTTTCTCAGGAGGAAAAAAAATCAAATATACTGAAGTAAAATCTAAGATGAGTTAAGTTTTTGACAAGACAAAATATAAAAAATGGATCATAATGCTCATAGCAATATTTTGCTACATGAAAAAAAAAAAAACTTACATTTTATTGGATGCCTAATAGTTTAAAAAAAAATTACTCTAGAAGTACGTTAAATTCTTAAGTGCAATATATACAAGTCTACCCTTATTGTACCATATTTTAGAGCATGTAGCGTACCACGTTCCTGATCCGCGTACCGGAACGATTCACGTTCCAGGTAACATAGTTTTTTCCCCTTTATATATTGGTGCGACTTTGACTTCCCCTTAAATTTGTGCCAGTATTGGTAGTGGCATTGGAAAAGGTGGAGCGGAGCTCAGGATCACTGATTGGCAACAGCATAGCTTCACTCCAGAAGAGTACGGCTCCTGAGGTTATTTTTGGAACTTTAGAAAATATTTTGGGGTGAAAAAGTTAGCACTTTTAGTACATACTCCTCTCTGGATGCAGATGCTGCTTGCACTCATGGACGAAGCATATACTGGATCAACCATAGGGGATGGAGGGGCAGACTCTGAATCTGACGATAGCAATACAATGGCTGTAGCTGATCCTCTGTTTCTTGAGCTCCTTAAGGATGAGAATGATGGCCTTGCTGTATGGCCCCTTCTGTATATTAGCTTTGATATTTCATATTTGCACCATGCAATACAAAGAGATCAAACATGACTGATTTATTGAATGACACCATTGTTGGGCTCCTGGGCATAATAAGATCTAAATTATGAATCAGTGACATTATAATGTAGGCAACTGTTCAATGTTTTTAGTGTGTGGATTTGACCATTTTTGTCTCCAATTAATTGAAATATTCAATTGAAACTCATTTTAATTGCAATTTACTTGGTGTATGTCTCAATTTTGTCAGTTCTATGCTTGTTTTTCAGATTTAATTAAATTTCCTATGTTAAACTTTTGATATCAACATGACCTAGATAAAGCATCATATGTATTGACCAATTCAATGATTTTCCTTTTCATATAAAGTTCACCACTGATGCCCAACCAAAACATATTGAGGCGCCATTTGTTTTCAAAGGTAGAATGAAGGGGTTTCATTGTGAGGGGATTAATTGTGAGGAGATTGTTAGTGAGGGGATTAAGTAAAATTGTATTTGTTTTGATGATAGTTGTTAGTGTACGAATTGTTAAATTATTTTTATATAAAATAATAAAACAAATAAAAAAATATAAAAAATTAAACATTAATATTTTAAAAAAAATTCTCAATATATAAAAAATAAAAAAATTTCTAATCCCCTCACTATTTTTCTAATATCATCTTCACCTCCTCCATCTCAATTCCCTTTCCAACCTTCATCTATATCACCTCCTCCATCTTAATCCCTGCCCCAACTCTACAAACAAACACAACACTAAATAACCCCATCGCCATCCTAATCTCCTCCCATCTATTTAACCCCAAAACAAATGGTGCCTAAAAGGCTTGAACTCTTGAAGCTTTTAATTAAATAATGACTTTACCTTCTTGTTTGCTTTAGTCAAGATTAATGTTTGTTGCTCAGACTTGTAACTTGATGCTTAACAGTCTGATTGATATTTCAGGAGCGCCATTGGACTTCTTCTGGGATGGCTGCAGCAATGCAGTCCACAATAAGTGCCCCCCAATCTGATAGGCTGAAGCATGCACTCAAGATGACACCTAGACTCCTTGATGTGTATTTTGCTATAGCAGTGCGTGATGTCAATGATTGTATGTTAGCTCCCAACTCTATTTTTAATGCATGTCACAATCTTTTCATTGTGAAGGAAGCTTGCCTTTTCCAACATGCATATATCTTAAGTAATGAAATGCCCTGCACACTGGTTGGAAATTTTGAAATTCATATTCTGTTGCAGCTTTAATATGTGCATTGGTTCCCCTACTTATGGCGAGAACTTCCACTCTATTTCCAGACAAAATTTTCTCTTACGAGGTAAAAAGGTTCCTTCTAGTAATTGAGTTTTATCTTTAGACAAGTTCTTGTTTTGGTATTCCTCTGAGGCTTCTATTGAAAACCATAGCTTGGAAATCAAAGCATTCCAATGTATATTGTCATGGCAGGGTGCAGTGATTGTGTTCTCCTGTTACATAACTTGCCTACATCTTTGCTTGTGTACAAATAATTTTCACTTCTACCGCGATGGATTTTATATGTTGTATCCTAATGGCATCATTTTAGCCATAGAAATGCAGTTCCCATTAAGGGGTGGTTTGGGATGATCTAAATAAGTACATTTTTTGACTTTTTATGAAATATGGGTTGGGTATGGGTTGAGTTTGAAGTGATGTGGTAGAGATGTGATGTGATGTGACTTAAATAAGATGATGTGACTTAAATAAGATAATGACTTTTTGACTTTTTTAGATTATGACAAACAAGGCCTACATAACGTTGCTGCTCTTTTTCTTTTTTTTTTCTTTTTTTCCCTTCTTTTCGTGACACCCATGCATGTCCCCTATTTTACATCTTTTCCATTGTTAAAAAATGTGTTTTGTTTTTGTCTCATCTTATTTAATTTTGCTTTACCTCAAGTTCAAAGCTCTACATACATCACAATTACTGTTATTCGAGTCCAAGCAATTTGGTTGACATGTTGATGGAGATCGAGGAGGAGGCAACAACATAGATTTTCAGTAATTTAGAAGTTTAAGGAAGAGGATGGATAGGGATTCTTGAAAAATGACAACATTCGTGTTTATGTCTAGTGGTGTTTCAATTTTGCATCCACCACTACAGGGGAGGGTGAAGTATAAAATGGTGGAAATGCATATAGGTGGTATTCCTTCTATGTCAATACCAGCACCTATTCCTTGTCTTCCACCAATTCCACCACAGCATGAAGTCTGAATTGACGCTGTTCTTGAGACTCCAGTTATTGCTTCTTCTCTTGATGGTTTTTGGAGATATCTTGTGCATTGGAACTGATGCCACTCCGATTGTTAAGGACAAACTTTGATACTTCAATTCTGAATAATTTGAGTGTTATCTTTCTCTTTAATCTCCAGATGGGAGTTCTTCTTAGCGGGGAGAATTGATGAAGATCGGTAAGGCAGCAATAATTGAGAGTTTGAGTTATTTAGGAGTTTAAATCTGTTCATGAGTTATTTTGAGTGTATCTGTTTATTTTTATTCGTTAACCATATATATACCTAGTGTTGGTGTATGCGTTTTATTAGATTTTGGCATAATTGAAGTTATTAAGAATTTTTGTATCTCTCTCTCTCTCTCTCTCTCTCCATTAGACACTCTCACCATCGCTTCTTGTCTCTGCTTCTATCCCCTATCTGATTCTCATTCTTCTTCTCTCTTTTCTCTGCTGCTTCTTTCTCTATCTCTACTTGTACTACATCACATATCTTTGCCGGTTGTTATCTAAATGCAGAAATTATTGTTGTACTTGAAACATTCACAATACATTGTGATTTATGCATGTAGGTTCAAAAGAGGCTCTTAGAATTCATGCTTGCTGCATTCCATCGATCTCCTGATTTTGTTGCACTTTTGAAGGTATTCTCCTGACCAAATTATGCCTAAACTTTTCGGTTGCAAGTCAATTATGTTGGAGCTTTATTGATTACTTACCTTAGTATCATTGTCACCTGGTATGTCAAATGTAATTCTAGATCTGGAAAATGGAAAGTAGGAGTGCATATAAATTTTTATTTTTTAAATTTTAAACAGGAATGGAGTGGAAAATTTTGTATCTTCCATTTTCTGGCTTGTGACCTGTTTTCTTTGGTATAAATTTTACAAATTTATTTGAATAGGTTTTTTTTTTTCAAGGCATTTTTGTAAAAAATTTTAAAGGCATTTTTGTCATATGGAAGTGTTTTTTTAAAAAATATTTTTCATATCAAAATTGAGAATTGGTTCTTTAATAAGTTTTTTCTATCTAAGAATTTCCGAAGGCACTCTCTCTAGTGAATATGTTTTTTCTATCTAAGAAGTCTCATAGAGATGTTTGCGTATCTAGTGATGTGCAATAGATTTGCAACTTTAAATGATGCTTTCTCTAGCGAATATGTTTTTTCTATCTAAGAAGTCTCGTAGGGATGTTTGCCTATCTAGTGATATGCAATATATTTGCAACTTTAAATACTACTTTCTCTAGTGAATATGTTTTTTCTATCTAAGAAGTCTCGTAGAGATGTTTGCCTATCTAGTGATATGCAATATATTTGCAACTTTAAATGCTACTGCTCAAATTTTCTTGCATAGAAGACTTTGATCATGTATTTTCATCAGCGTTTTGACGATATATCTGTATTGAAACTTCTGCAGAAGCCTATAATTGACAGACTTGGAGAAGCTTATGACAGTCCTGCAAAGGTCGGTAAATAATAATAAAGCTAGAAAGAAACAGTTGTTTTCCTTATTGGTAGATGCCACAGTTACACATTGAACAAATCATTTCCACCACTCTTTTATAGACAGAGTTGGCCTTACAATTGTGTTGGGCCATTGGGGAGCATGGAGGGGGTGGTGAATCTCACAAAGATGCAGCTCGGGAACTTTTCGAGAGTTTGGAACTACTTCTGTATGAAAACCTTTCATCCAGGTACATTTTATGTGACAGCTATAGCTATTTGCATGGTCAGAGATTTGTTTTACGATGGTTAGTATGTCATGCTGACTTCTAGCTTCTCTTTTTGTTATTTGTTTGGCAGTCGTCTTGGTCTAAGGGAGTCAGCTCTTAGCTCTGGTAGTATGACATTCAGAAAATCATCACAGTCAAGACTGCTGTGTTTTGTTGTGACAGCCATAGCAAAGCTTGCCACACATCACCGCGAATTACTTCCAAGGGCTCGGGTATCCTTAGCCAAGGTTTGTCTTGTCATTTTCGATTAATATCATTGTCAAGGAAAAAAGTGCTGATGATGATTTTCGCTCACAAGGGATTCATGATGAAATTAGTGAATCAAAATGTTGATCCCAATTCACAAATAGAAGAACACAAGAACTCGCATGGTTGGGAAAGTTGCGTACAATAATAGAGAGAGATTACTAGAAATTAATTTATAAGAAATGATATCAATGATGAATGAAATGATTTGTAACCCTAGTTCATCATCCACCTATCAGTGATACAAGAAATGATCTGTTGTGATGGTATGTTACCTAATATTTCAATACATAATTTTGGCCAGCATAAATTAATTTGGATTTGCATAACAGGTGGCACGTTCTCGAATCTCAGATGTGAGGGTCTGGAGGCGTGCTCGTGATTATTTGGGCTTAATGAATGAACCTGCTATATGTTTGTCGGTCTTGGGTCCTTCAAGACCTTCATACGTATGTAAGCAGAGCCCAGGCACGGTCAATTGGAATGAAGGCGCTTCAAAAATGACTGCTGATATTCCATTTTACATTCTAGGTGAACATCAAGGTAAAGAATAAAATTGTCTCGTTTAACTTAATAAAAGTTGTTTTTCTATTTCTTGCATTGTTCATACTTGCCTTTTTAAGTAATATCTCAATGGGATAGATTATCGTGTTTTGTTACATGCTTTGTATATTTATTTAATAAACTAGGCAATGTTATGGCATGGGCACCCAATCTTTCTGCATTCAAAATTTCCTAATGCAATATTTGAGATGCCATCTTGGTGAACATTCCCAATATATATATATTCAAAGGTGTGTTACCACTTATATTTAGGTTCATATAATACTGTGTGATTTCAATGTTTTTTCACTAGCAAGGAATTAATTTTTCACCAATTTGCTGCAGGCCCTCCTTTCCATGATTTTTCATTCTCAGACATCTTTCCGAGAAGATAAGGAGAGATAGGTTGGCAGGAAGAATCGCATCATCAAACATAAGGAGAGGTTGTCCTAATCTTTGCAGGAGATGGCTTTTTCAGGTGCTGCTGCTACGGTGATTAGTGGCCTCTTCTTTGGTGTTCTTTCAGCCTTTGGCCTCTTCTATGGTGTTCTTTCAACCTTTGGACAGTGATTATGGAATTCTGGTGTTTGTGAGGGTTTTTTTGGGTCAGGTTTTTTTTGTTTTGGTGCTGCTGTTGGCCTTTTTGTGCTGTTTAGCCTTTTAGCATTCTTTTTGTTTACTGCTTTTGTTAAATCATATCATGTAATATCTTTTATGCAATGAGGCTTATTGATAAATTCATTATCCAGGACTCATATTGATAAATTTATTATTTTAAATTTATTCATTAGTCATATTAATAAATTTATCACTGTAAATTTATTATTCATAAGTCATTGATAAATTAAGGCATAACATGTTTTGCTTTTGAGGTTTATTATCCATTAAATCATATTGATAAATTTATCACTCTAAATTTATTCATAAAAATAAAAGAGATTGATAAATGTATCAATAGGATGTAATGGGTAATAAGTTTTAAAAGCAAGATTTATTAGTAATTTACTCAAAATAAAAAAAAATCGAGACTTGGAAACATGGGCAGAGCTATGCATGAAGTAGTGGGTTGAACCATTGAATTTTGAATTTTTTTAAAGTATGTAGTATCTATATAAGATGGTGCAAGGATTTTTGAAAATGTTTCAAAATATATTAAGAGATACATTTGATTTCAACAGTTTAGTTTATACTTATCAACTAATCTATGGTTCAAGATAAAATTTTTATTTTTGTTTCTCCTGTCTAAATATATGACTTTTCACTTATTCTCTTTCTTTTTCATGTTAGATATACATTCATCTCTCTTTTCTTACATACTCTAACAACCTTTCTTTACCTTCATTTTCCTCTCTTCTCTCAAGTTTTAGTTCTACAATATTAACAGGTAACACTTTTATGATCTTCAATTATGGTGATTCTCTCTCTAATCTTTGTTATTTGTCAAATTTATTTGTTTATTGCGAGACTATTAATAGTTTCAATCTTCTCTTCAAACTATAAAATATGATGTCCTCTCTCTCTCTCTCTCTCTAACTATTTCATAAAATTATTGAGTAAATGGGTATTTGAAAATGTCATCTCTCTCTCTCTCTTCAAATGGGTTTCTCCCTAACCCTACAAAATGAGAATTTATTTTGGTTTTGTTCATAAACTACCTCTCTTCAAATGGATTTCTCCCTAACCTATGAAATGCGAATTTATTTTGGTTTTGTTCATCAACTACCACATCTCTCTTTAAAAGTTTGTGGGCTTCATCAACCTTTAGATTTGGGTTTCATCTTTTTACACAATGCCCCCCCCCCCCCCCCCCTCCCTCCCTCTTCAAATGAGTTTCTCTCTCTAAGCTACAAAAATGGCCATTTACTCAATAATTTTCTTTTGGTTTCGCCCTCTAACCCACTGCCCTCTTCGTCCTTTTACATTGATGCTTGAAAATGTCCTCTTCAAATGGGTTTCTCTCTAACCCAATTTGAAAATGCCCTCTCTCTCTCTCTCTCTCTTCAAATGGGTTTCTCTCTCTTCAAACTATAAAATATGATTTGGATTTCATCCTTTTAGTTTTGTTCATCGACTATCCTATCTCTCTCTAAAAATTTGTAGGTTTTATCAATTTTTTGATTTTAGTATTATGATTTGGATTTCATCTTTTTATATTGATAAATCGATCCTATTTTTATGTTGATGAATTGGTTAACATAGTACTGTTTCTCATTTTCCTGTCTTGGACAATAAAAATTACACAATTTGATTTTTTTATTATTATTTTTATTTAAAAATGAAAATCAAATTATCAAATTATCTGTAATGTGATCACGCCATTATTGTTTCCAATCACTTTGGATCATGCTAAACGCTGTTTGGATGGCCATCACAAGATTACTAAGTGGTTGTTTGGTATTCAATTTTTTTTTTTTAAATTAATGCATTTAAAAAATTTGTTTTTTTAGTGAGTGAAACATGCTAATACGATATATATATATATATATATTTATTTATTTATTTATTTATTTTTTAACTAATGACAACTGATTTTGTGGCTTTTAAGTTTTTGACTTTTTAGCCTATTACTAAACGCATCCTTAATTCTCAACTCACATCATTAGTTTTGTTTGATTTCTTACTTCTTCTTTTTTTTATTCTTTTTTTTTTCTCCTTCAAAGCAATAGGTTCTATGTACTTAATATTTAATCGTTTATATTTTTTAAATTATCTATTTAAGGTGATATTATTCATCGATTTTTAGGTGGATGACATAAATTCTACAACGGCGAAGCAAGTTTGAACTGACGGTATTATGTATATTGCTTTAGTTGACTTCATCAAATTTATTTGTGTGTATTCAAATTTATTGCTTCATTGTGATGGTTGTTTGGTAATTTTATTTTTATTTTTATGTCTTTTGTGTATAAATTTCAATTTCAGTTTGGATTCTCCAGGTAATAAATGGAGAACTTCATAATTTTGGATTTCAACTTTTTATGTTGATAAATTATTGAATTTCATTGTGTTCTTTTTTAAAAAACATAATTATTATTAATGATCATGGCATGTTTAGAAAAAAATAATAGATTTTGCATAAGTGGAACTTTTGTTCCTACTAAATATGAGTATCTTAGTGTTTCCCAAATTCATAAATAACAATTTCCCTACTCTTAATGTTTCTATTTTTATAATTCCCACCAACCTTCTCCCAAAAATTGCAAGGTAAGCCCTTTTTTTTGACAACCTGAACGTTTAATTAAATACTATATAAATATTTATAGTTATATATAATAATAATAATAATAATAATAATAATAATAATAATAATAATAATAATAATAATAGTGGGTGTGGTAGTAAAATAAATAATAAATTTTCTATTGGTATGCAATAAAGTGTAAATTAATTAGGAATTAATTTGTTTATATAGTTATGTTAGAGAATTGGGCCAAAGTGTAATTATCATAAATTTTTATTAAGATAAGTATAAATTCATGGTGATTTATGATCAAATCTGGGGAGGGATTTGAGTTGTGCCATTTGTTGGCCTCAGGGTGCTTTTACCTCCCTACATAGGGAGGAGTTGATCAAGATTTGTGGAAAGAAAAGGACAAAAAGGAGAGGCACACAAGGTACTGGAGAAGGTTGTGATAGTGGAAAGTAAGGTTAAGGGTCAATATTAAGGTGAGTTATATTATACCTTGAGTTACCATAATATATTTTACGTACGTTTTGTCTTACCATAATTTATTTTATGCAAGTCATATTTTATAAGTTATATTAATATTTCAATTACGTGGATTAATTTCTGAACTCTATTTGTTTAAAATGAAACTCATGGATATGTTTGTTTAATTTTTAAGAATATTTGATTATGACCTTATAAACAATTATGTTTTGTAAGTACCACTACAAGAGTCCCACACCTTGGAGGACTTAAATAACCATTGGCCTCTATTTGGCCAATTTGTGATCCTCTGTTTGTAATGAATCCATTGACCTCTGTTCTGACTGTCACTTCTGTGACCTCTGTACTATTATGTTATGTACCGTAGTTATGGTTATTTATTTATATAATTTCTGTATTTCAGTTTCTGCCACTTAATTAATTTATTTATCAAATTAAGTTATGTAAATATTTTGGCTTAACTAACTATTTATAGTTATTTTGTACTCCCTATACTCTTGGCATAATATTTCTCACTCTGCTGTGTGTTTATAGCTGTTATCCTTTCAGGTGATGAGATGTAAGGAAGGCCCATAACCTCATGTAGTGAAATATGTGCAAGAAATTGATGCGGATCTGCTAATTTGTTTTTCTTTTCTTTTCTTCCTGTCGTTTTTTCTGATGGCTGGTCGCTGCATAATAAAATAATAAAAGTCTATGGATGTACTTTTTTTAAAATAATAGAATGAAGTAACTTTTTGTTTAATTATTTTTATTTCTGTTTGCCTCCACCTGCACTATTTAATTTGTTACAATTAGAATAAGTTAGTAAGTTGCGATTCTAACCCTAAGCCCCTGGGGTTGGGTCGTAACAAATGTGGTATCAGAGCAATGGTTCATTAAAAAAAAAAACATGTTATTTTAATTTGATCATAAAGTTCGAAAAGTTATAAATAAATTTATAAATAAAACTATGTAGTTAGATAAACATAATAAAATAAAAAATAAACATTCACCTGCGACATTAGTCCTTTTATGCTAAATCTTACATTTATTCTGGTGATATAGGAATGTTCGAGATTAACCTTGATGACGCGTTTTGGGATGAGCTTGGGGCCATTAATTTGGATAAGATTTTAGCAGAGCACCCCGCCCTCATCTCACCTAAAGGATGGGGAGATTCAGAAGATATAATTAGAGAACTGCATCCAAGCCTTGGCCAATTGATGGGTTGGCCAATCTATATACAGGATGATCCTACTGAAGTCTCATATTTACTATGGAGGCAGAGCCGTGCCCATACGTACGGACATTTTCTTGAACCCACTTGTGTCCTCGGTATTGCTCCGGGATATGACCGCCTGCACTATATCGTAGGCCCTTTACCCCTAGATTTTGTGGCAAACGTGTACCCCGAGAACTACATTTTTACCACTGTCCCTAACCCGCTAGAGATTATTAATATTCAAAATGTTGACTTTAGTAATGACCTATCATATATCGAGACACCCGGTTGGATTGTCGATCGAGCATTTTTGGGATACACACAATCCGTCCCCATTTTCATAGTCTAGGCAGCATGGATGTGTTTTGGTGTGGTCTAGTTAGGCTGGGAATTTGAGCTTTTTATGCAACACTACTTTCCATGGTTATTTGGCCCATTTGACCCACCACTCTAGATTTGGTAGAAGAAAACCTTTTTGTACGCTAACCATGATGTGTTCTAATCCTTTTTTGTTGTCTTTTTTGTTTTTGTTTTGTTGTATCATAGGGATGAGACATTAACATATTCTGACTTTTGAAACAAAGATGTAATATTAATTGTAAAAATAGTAAAGTTGGTATTTTATATAGATATGGATTGCGCTACACATGCTTATATATATATATATATATGTTGCATTATAGATGTAATGCCTCGTTTATTACCTTGTAGAATGGCCAATAATAGTTACAAAAGCAAGTCATCAGTTAATGGCACTAAATCGATGGAAAGAATCATGGAAAGAGCAGTTACTAGCTTTTTGCAAGTCTTGCAAACTAACATCAATAATGGGATGTCAGAACGGCGAGAAGAGCTGGTTACCATAAAATAGTTCCAGGATCTGAACCCCATCACATTTACCGGTGGTCT